GGAATCTCTAAAACCCGGAATACTAAAATGGGGAATCTCTAAAACCCGGAATACTAAAATGGGGAATCTCTAAAACCCGGAATACTAAAATGGGGGATTCCCCATTTTAGTATTCCGGGTTTTAGAGATTCCCCATTTTAGTATTCCGGGTTTTAGAGGGGGATTCCCCATTTTAGTATTCCGGGTTTTAGAGATTCCCCATTTTAGTATTCCGGGTTTTAGAGATTCCGGCTTTTAGTATTCCGGGTTTTAGAGATTCCGGCTTTTAGTATTCCGGGTTTTAGAGATTCCGGCTTTTAGTATTCCGGGTTTTAGAGATTCCCCATTTTAGTATTCCAGGTTTTAGCATTCCCCATTCCCCATTCCCCGATTCCTTTCCCCGATTCCCCATTCCTTGTTATAGTAATAGCCATTATGCAATTGGAAATTGCATTTATGAAGTTCAGTTATGCTATTATGATATTCGATATTAAGTTATTCGAATTTCATTCTGCGTGAAACAGTCATTATTGAAATTTCATTCGGCGTGAAACAGTCATTCGGCATGGCACTCAGAAACCAAAATTCGACTTCCGGTTCGGGATGGCACTCAGAAACCAAAACTCGACTTCCGGTTTAGCGGGAAATTGTAATTCCACCATGACCGAAGCAGTGTGACCAGATGTGGTAATTTCATTACTACCGTGGTAATTTTTCGTCATTTTTGGACGATTGTGGTAATTGGAAATTTGTGGTAATTACTACGGTAATTTTTGGAATTGTGGTTATTAAGCTGAAAATTGCTAAAAAAGTCAATTAAGTCAGTATTTTGGTACTTTTTCCAGACCTAAAGTTTCCAGACCTAAATTTTACAGATTTTGGGTAAAAAACCTTAATTTAACTGGTGTTTAATTTAAAATTTGAACCTTAATTTAACTGGTGGTTGTCCCAAAAAATTTGTTGTCTGGGAAAATTTTTTCTCCTCCCCCCCTCCCCCCCCTCTCTCGCCAACATTTTTGGGGAAAATATGGTACCGTGGTAATTTTTGAGCCAATGTAGTAATTTTATGCAGCCGGATGTGGTAATTACCCCTGAAAAAACCTGGTCACACTGGACCGAAGGCAATTTAAGTCAACAAGACAGAAATATAAGTGTTGTAGACGTATTGGAAACAACTGTGTTGAGGAACTTAGACATCGGCGACCAGTATGCCCATACGGCGCAAAAAGATTTCTAAAATTCCCCGACACTCTTTCTGGATTTGATGTATTGACGGCAGTGCCGCCAGTCGCCAGATGATGTATAGTAGCATGCGATTCGCTTTGAGAAATTACATGTGGACTCGCAACTTGTGCTGAAGAAACATCATTTGATGATCCAGGATATTCTCTGATCAATCTTGTCGCTTCTTGCAACAAAGAAACAGCACGCTGTTGACTTAAATTCTGCCTCCTCCGCATGCCCTTACTAAGATCCTAAAAATCCTAGCCCTAAAAATTGTTCCTAGCCCTAAAAATTTGTAAATAATGTATGTTGTTAAATGTTATATTTTGGGCGAAAATTAAATTAAAAAAAAAAGAAAAAAAAGATCAGTATATGTCCTTTATCCCCCTCCCGCGAATTTAATAAAGCGACTGGGGACGACGCAGACTTAAATTGCCTTCGCCTTCGTCCATGTTGACATTACAACTCCCCGCGTGCTTTTCCCGCTAAATCGGAAGTCGAATTTTGGTTTCTGAGTGCCATGCCGAATGACTATTTCAATAATGACTGTTTCATGCCGAATGAAATGGCATAATTGAATATATGAATTTTGGCGGATATCACACCTCATATGTCCTTACGCCGTATTCAAGACAATAGCATCTTACAATAGCCAAAGCACCATGATAGATTATATACTCTTCATGGAAAGAGTAAGTAAAAAAGGGCGAACTTACGTGAAAGGTCGTGCTGTGGGAAACGAATTAAGAACTCTTATCATCGACGACATAATATTGGCTGGAGGATGTAGCGAAACAACTTATTTTCCCGGAGACTTTAAAACTGTGGCAGACAAGTTCAAGCTAAGTAACACAACCATTAAGAATATCTGGGTTTCTTTTTGCGAGAATAAAACGGTATTTCCAAGTCCACATGGAGGAGGAAATCCAAGCAAACTTGGTATAGAAGATCTTGAACTTATAGAGGTTTTAATAACTGCAAATCCAACCATATCACATAAAGAATTGCTGGATAAACTTAGGGAACATGGTGAGGTATTTGGCGAGGTGTCACAATCGGAACTCTCCAGAGCGATTCATTGCCGAATGATATCGGGTAAAGAGTATACGAGAAAAAAAGTAACTACAGTCGCGATTGAAAGATTTACTCACATTAATATGGTATACACGCAAATGTTTATCGATTATCTTCATTCGAAGGACCCGTTTAAATTAAAGTTCTTTGATGAAGCTGGATTGAAACTACCAACGGACAGCACTCGCTGCTATGGCCATGCGCCGAAAGGAGAGCGATGTGTAGAAATCAGGCGTTATCATGAAACGCCTAACATCACTGTAAATGTTTTAGCCGGTCTAGAAGGAGTGAAGTATGCCAATATTGTTGATGGAGCTTCAACTACAATTCATTTCTTGCAATTTTGGGGTGAAGCTGCTAATGCTGGAGACGTTATTACTGGAAGACCAGCTCTCGAAGTAGCAGACATTGTTGTTATGGACAATTGTGCGACTCACCACTTTGACGGGGGCGTCAATTTAGTCAGTTTCTTTGATGAATTAGGAATTGAATTAGTATACACTCCAGCTTATTCTCCAGATTTTAATCCGGTTGAATTTGTTTTCTCTAAAATGCGAACAGAGATGCATTATTATCAACTAAGTGACTTAGTAGAATCTAACTTGAAACTCGGGGCATATGAAGCACTGGAGTCAATAAACGCAAATGACATGAAAGGTTTTTATCGGGCTACCTCATATATTGATATTTAATTCATTTTTACTGTTATAATACAATAAATTCGCTTTTGAGTTTTGTGTTACTTGTTTTATTTTAATTTCATGTCTAAACGCACGAATACACAACCTCTAGCCGGACCACTGCAATCGAATCAACCGGTGCCTAAAAAATGTTGATCAATCCATTTCATCACTTCGACAAAATCAGCGTTTTTACAAAAACTTTCGAAACGCTTTTATAGACATTTCCCAAATTTGCTGTCTGGGAATGAAAATTTGTTTTGTATGTTTTGTATTGTTTCGTGTGCACTCAAGCAAATACTGGAAAACAAAATATGATAGCTATTTTCTCACACCAACAGTTGTCAAAACAATTGTACGTTTCATATTTAAATTTAACGTATTATTAAATATACACGGTATATCGTAAATACACCTAATGTCACAATGTCAATGAAATAAAAATATATATCAGTACATGATGTACATTTAGTTCATGCTTGAAGTCAACTATATAAAAGCAGTATTTATTAAATTGTAAATATGTCACAGAGTCATAAAACATAAATTTACCGAGAGATAAACCAGTACTTATCGTCTTATGATTGCGTTTTCAAATGTTCTATTTTACTCTGTGTCTGCCTCTGGTTAAAAAGAGCTTATAAATAAACATTGTCAAGCAGAGAGGTAGAGACTAGAGTATAACTCCGTCTGAAAACCAAACTTAGAAAAATCTTACTTGACTACCAACGCACAGGACACATTTACATAAAAAACTTGTACATATACATAGGCTTTATAACCCGGTCTGTATCATATATGGTACATACAATTAAAAAAATATGAAATATTCCCTTATATTTACAGTAAAGAACACAACCGATATTAAAAGTATTTATAACGTCAAAATTAGTATAAGTTTATACCTATTCATTTCAGGCTTTTTTTCAGTCCCATCAGGGATACAAGCACTTCGGCAGCAGTCTCGCGTTCTACGTCGTTATTTTCTGGTTGCGGATCAGAAATTGTTGATTCATCTGAATCCTGGACGAAAATCTCCTCTTTGCTAGACACGGTGATCCTGGCATCAATAACAGGGGCATTAACAGGTTTTGGATCTGGCTGCCGTGTTGAAAACGGTGGAGCTGTTGCGGAATAACAAGATAACTGCTGTTGATCCAACATACTTTGCTTTAACATCATATTCAGTTGCTCACGCTCTTCCTCTTCGTTAGATGGGATACATCGGTATAGAGTTGTACTTGACGAGCAAGGACTTTCGTGTTTTGGGAAAACGATACCATGCCGTTGAAGGTCTGCCATTGCGGGATTTATAGCTGTTGATTGTGTTGTATTCCCAGTTTTCTGCGACGCCGATAAACATGAAGATGAATCGTATTGTTTACCAGTGTAACTCTCAAAATGTGTATATCCTTTGTTATTTTTTAATAACTCGGGAATGTCGCGTCGATTTGGTAATTTTCCTTTGCATTTCTTCTCTAAGATCACAGCGTGTTTGTGTATCAGCGACCAGTTCTTACAACCATTTTGCACGTATAGCTGAGGATCGGTTAAAATTAAATCCTGTTCAACTTTAGCTACGAATGAATCGTTCACTTTAGAATAGGCTGTCTTTTTCGTTTTATAACTCTCTTGAGCCGTCTTTAGTTTCTTTTGAAGAGCAGCTATTTCACTTTCGAGTTTTCTGACTCTTCCTTTATCGACTGGATGTTTATCAATAAGACCACAATATTTGGCGCTTACACATACACCGAGTTCGCAGTTTCTTTTTGTGTGTCCATCGCGTAGATGGCACTGACCACACACTGTCAAAACACCCTGATTACGTTCACGAGCTGATTTTATTTCTTGTTTCAATGAGTTTACTTCGTCTGTTTTTTTGGAAATGCCCTGATTTATTTCGGTAATAGTTTTCTCCAAATTGTCAAATAGCCTCTCCACAGGTGTTTTGATGGTGTTGTCGGCCATCAATTCTGGAAATTCTGATTCACTGTCAGTTTCAGAATCGTCGGGAAAAAATCTTTGCTTCTTGCCTCTTTCATTAAACAACTCTTCATAATTTTTATCAGTTTTGTCGAAAGAAGACATGTATAATAGTTGTCGTGGTTGCACGGACGAAGTCGATTTTCTTTCACGACTTTGTTTGTCACTTGGGAGTGACATATTTTTATCAGTTTTGTCAACGTTTGGTGCAATAATACCACACGGGGAATTAATTTCACACGCTTTTATTTTGACTCGCCTATATTCTCTGTCTGGAACACGTTTGGCGTTGGCCCACATGTCCGCAAATCCCGATTTGTCTCCGAAGTCTAGGTTAACGTAAGATCCTTCATCATCTTGGTATCGAATCCTTATGTTGTATTGACTCAAATGGCTGAGAGAAGGGCAACGTTTCAATATGTCGGATACTAAATCGCCAAATTTATATTGGCCGCCGTATACACTATTCGCATCCACAAAAAAATTAATCCACCTTTCATGACCGTATTCAACTTTAAGTTGAAAGGTCGCTTCCATCGTTAAATTCAATATTAACGGACCGAAACACACAAACTAAACAATTATTTATTATTATAAAGTGCAAGCTAAGCAAGCTGCTATTTTTAATATTGCTATAAAAACTTCGTAAGGACACGCCTTCAAAACTCCATAAATAGCCTTGACAACATGTTGACGGCGCCATAACAACATTGTTCGAATTACGTCATAACTATATGTTTAAACTTTAAAACGTTACGATAAAACCCTCTGGATAAAACTGTGGGCGTTCCAAACTCAACTGGAAATCGCAGTATTTACACTTACAAAAAACAGCCTCCAAAATTTGATTTTCAAAACGTTATTTCGAACCCTGGTGCGATTCAAAATTATGAATAAAATTACTCAAAATTACGAGTAAATGTACTCAATTTTATTACTAAAGTTTTATATGTACTAAATTTTTTGAGTAAAGATTTACTTTACTCAAAAACATGGGTAAATTTGCTCGTAAATTAATTTCAGGAATTTTATATATTGTTTAGAAATTTTATTAATTTATTAAGATGCAGGTTTATTAGCATAGCATGACCAGTTGCCATGGCTAGCTGCGCCACTGAATTTTACTCAGTATCTTGAGTCGCTGCACATGCAGCATATTAATAGCGTCCTGTATGCGAAGCCAATTAGAAATCGGAGGATATATTGGGCGTGACTGGGCCCAATGTCGAACCTTTAGGGAGACCTATATTTTGTCTACCGCTCTGGTAAATCACTTGGCGATGTCTTAAAAACCCTGCTTTTACCAGATTTATCCACATATGTACATACCTATCAACATCTTGTTTCTCGCCATCCTGTGCTAACAGACCAGCATAAACGTCCATTCCTTGAAGACAGTTCTCATCAAGAGAACGAACCTAGTCAATGAACGACTAGCTCATTAATTTAAGGCCCTGTCACACTAGTGCGTATCGTACTAGCGTATACCAGCGTATGAAAAATATCACTCATACGCTGACATACGCTAGGGGTACGTTTATAGGCATAGGTTGTATACGTTTCAAGCACGGTCGCATACGGTGGCATACAGCGAGGCAGAAACTCTTTTAAGCATGCTTAAAAAATTTTTGAGCATTCGAACGTATGGTTTATACGATAAGCATTTGCTAGGCACGTATGCTGAATACGCTAGAGGTACGCCAGATGTACGGTACTCATACGCTGGCATTTCAAAGGATTTTTGTACGTATGAAATTTTCATAGCTTCTCATACGTTTCTCTCATACGCAATACTGTGATACTGACAGGGCCTTAAAGGTATACATTTACACGCTTTGATTTGTTATGTACTGTACGATTAGTATTCTGGCGTATGTAATCGAATAAGCACGCGTAAAGTGGTTGTATTTCAAATTTCGCCATAAACTAAATTAAACGAAGCGTTGAAGATGAATTGTTGCGTCAGCAGTAATTCTTATATATTGGCTAATACGAATCGCGCATGACAAATCGCAGACAGGGACAGGTCTAGCCTCATCTGCAAGGAGGGGTGCAGGTTTTCCATGGGGTGGTGCATGAGGGAGCCTTACTGCCCACTCTCCTCTGCAATCTGCAACACTACTATCCCAACATTACCATTATTTGAGATGGCCGAATCTGCATGTTCGCCGTTCTGTTACGTTTTACATTATCGTTTGGTTATAAAGTTTATATCGGCTTTTTATCATGTACAGTATGGCTGAACGGACGGCTGTAGCACACACAGTACAGTAATTTCACTTGTTAAAGTACAGTGTGTTTGAACATATGGGTGTATAACACACAACCTCGACACGTTTACATGCGTATTTAACCATGATACCGGGTGGCCCAAAAAAAAGTACTCCTGTTTGATTCGTAATAACTTCTAAACAAGTAAAGTTTTTAAAGAGAAATAACTTGCATTAAATAGAGGAAGGACTAACTTAGATTTTGATATATTACAGTTGTATTTAACTTAAAAATTCACGGAGATATTAATGTTAAAAATGGGGAGCATATTTTGGAATGTGTCTAAAATTAGCAAAAATCGGCATATCAAATATTAACTCCAGCGTTTGTTTGCTTAATGACTAGCCTGCGAGCAGGCTCTCTGGGGAAAGAGAGCCTGCAAGGATCCCTTTGATGATTCGGTGCATGCGTCCAATATTTGGACGCAGTGCTCTGATTGGTTGATAACTGATTCATATGAAGTGATTGACAAGCTTCCATAAACTTGCACTTCCCGTTTGTAAAACCGAGCAACGCAAAGCTTCGGAATTGCGGCAATGTAGAGATAAAAGTGTCATGTATTTTGATCCTGGTTGACTTTTTACTGTAAATTAATATAGTATTCATATAAAGACGAATACTAAAAGCTTGCATGCTTTATTGTGTCCTTGGCTTGTCTGACTCCTAAGCTAAGAATAATTCTTGAGAAAGACTGCACAAATTCGCAAACCGAAACCTAGGGACAAGGCATTATATCGCTTCTCTTTTATGAAACAATA